TTGACGCAAGCCTCCAACTGAAGTGATATCAAAGAAAAATTAGCAGCCAGATTAAAACGTTCTTCAAGATTTAATAAAATAATATACTCAAATGCAAAATACTGAACACAAGAATAAGAATGAATTGAAGTCATTTGACAAATAAACGATTAGAGGATATGTCAATTATAGGTCATTTATTCTGCAGTATAATTAATGCCTAACTATAAGTTGTAATTCTTATCCTATTTTATCACATGTAAGGGTTAATGATCACAATTTCCAGTGTATTGTTTGTTTTCATTCATACTATAGTAAGTAAGACATAAGTCAGTGATCTTGAGTGCTGTTAGAGGTATGAGGGCGGTTATCACTTCCTGCTTGCCCACACCGTGGAAGGGTTCTTCTGGAGGTACCTGAAAAGGAAATTGAATTAGGAGTGGCCTTATTGACCTGAGAGCGTGACCACAGTGCCCAAGGGACAACTGCTTTAGGTCGATCACACACGACCTTGTTATGGGTGATTTTTGTGTTAGCTCCGTACTTGTTGAGATCTTACCGCCGGAGACGGATATCCGTGGGATAAGGCGAGGTGTGCATTTTTAGGGTCGACCTTTTCTAACCCCACCCCTCCTTGTGGGAATGCAGCATCGCTGTCGTGCTGGTTGTCTGAAGGAAACACCTTACTGCTGTCACACCTCTGTACAGTCAGCAGTACGACTTCATCTTCGGACCTTGGGTTTGTTGCTTTTAGTCTTACCGCTCTTCAACCGACCTGTCTGACATGGTAGGACCTTGAGGAACGGTTGTTCCAGCCAGTATAGCTCGGTTGCTTCATCACGATAGGCAGGCCCGTTCACCACATCAAGATAGCAACAACGGTCGGGAAGTAATACATAAGAAGTTCAATTTTGTTTATTTAGCAAGTTTCATGAAAATTTTTTCACCTTTTTATTCTTTAATGTAGATTATCATATTGATTGGACCTATTCAGGTTATCTCAATTACATTCACTTTTAAATCAATCTAAAATTATTTTCTGTGTTTATTAGAAATTGTTTGACTGTTTTTTTTCTTTTCTTGTTCAAAACTTTCAATATTATTCATTCACATTTCCTTTAACATATACTCAAACTCAGGGTCATCAAATTTCACAATCAAAATGATACCTTAAAATCATTGATTTGAAATCCATTGATTTATTGAATTAACTTCTGCCAATTTACAAGATCTTACGTCTATAATATTGGCAATATCAATTTCACTCATAACTTAACTCTGTTGGTAACATTTATTATTGATTTTTCAGAGGCATATTCATAATGAAAACTTATGTCAAATAGGATATGATTTACACAATATGTAGATCTTAATAAAACTTATCAACTATGAAATGTCACATTATATTTAACAAAGCATTATGTTTATTTTTTTAGTTCAGTAAAATGGTTATTAATGGTATGAACTTGAATTGACAAATAAAAACAACTAAAAGTCATATGATTAAATTTAGAATTGATTTTAGATGATTTAAGATAGTTGATATATTGACAAATTAACTGGGTAAAATGAAATTTGGAACCATTGTGATAAATAAAACCCAATTCTTACAACATCACTATTATGTAGTTGTTCTATAAAAAACGAAGTCTACTATTTTATATTTATACAGTATTTTCTTTTCTTTTCTCAGTTTTAATGAAAAGAAATTCAGGTCACATTGACAGTGAACATCAACTTTTTCTCTTATAAGCTGAAATGATCAAAACTCAAAACTAGTCAAATGGGATTATGTCCAATTTACCAGATTCTGGCTAATATCTTAGGCGATTTAGCTACTAAAACTGGACCATCATATATAAAGAGCTCGGAGATTAATATATCAGAGTTAATTGGTTTCTCTCACTTTAGATAAACTGTGATTTCTTACATTTTGTTAATAAACACAGGCTTATGTTGATCTTTCATTTGGATTAATTAAGCAAGTTCAAAGTAACTGTGAAAGACGGTTCAACTTACTTTTCTTCTTTTTGTTGACATTTTTTGTGATGGAGTGATCACAGATTACAAGGTAACCACGATTCTCATTAGCATTTCATAGAAAGCGAAAGTGTAAATGAACCTTGGTGAGATCATGACTTGAATCAGTTGAGTCATGACTTCCCAAAATAACTCCGAAAATCAGCTTTGGAAATCAGTTAGTAGTGAGAACATGATAACTTTCAGGACATGAATTTCAGATTGGTGAATTCTTTTCAGAAAACTTAAATCAATACTAAAATCATTAGTTTAAATTAGACAGTCAAATATAAAGCTTTTAAACAATGTATCTGCGATTTTTTCTTATGAGTATCTACGTTGTCAGTATGAATTTCAATTCAACCAGCTAAATAAAGGAAGTGTCTAGAATTTTTAGATAATTAGGTACTTGAAGACAAATAGCCATCACAACCAGAATGTAACTTCAAATCTCGAGCAAAATCTTAACAAGTGGAGCCCAACCCTGTCGTATGTGAAGCAGTTACCCATCGAAAACAATGGAAAGTAGTTGGGGAATGTTGTGAATTGATTGAAGTTAGACATGTAAACCAGTGGGTGCCGACTCAGTAGTCTAAAGGTTAGGCCCTAAGAGCAAAACATGAAGGCCCTGGGTTCGATCCCCAGTGGAGTCTTGAATAACCCTTACTGGGGTGTTGTATACTAGGACGAAGTAGATATCTATCGCTTCCGATGGTTAGCCAACTTAGGTCGGCTTGTGATCAGAATAACATACACCGATCCCCACAAACCTATACATTATTAATGAATTACTGAACATCATTAACATTGTTCACCAATTTTTGCTATTTTTGGCAATTCATATCGATCATACCTATGGTATAAATTAGCTTGTTCTATGTGTATTTCGTTATTTTGGACGACAGTAAAATCAATACGAATCGCTTAGACAGTGACCAATGTGAAATCTGCTCTTATGTACGTTTATTTCTGTTCATGGCATTTAAAGAAACATGGTTTTGCATGCTTGCGTACACCATACACAAAATTGATATTGTGAACAACAGGCTAAAAAGTTTGTAACTCAATTACATAAGTAATTTAATACAAGCATGATCACTAAAATATACTATCAAAATAAGCCTTTATCCGATGAGCAGAAATAACAACATTACAGCTAAAATTGGAAACAATAATCACCTTATGAATTATTTTTTTAGAAAGAGCTATTTGAATTTAAATTGTTGATTTCACAAATTAATAAGTATGCAAAACTAGGAAGAATACCTGTCACTGAGGCAAAACAAGAGCCTTTTAATATCCAAAATGTTATTCATCTAGTACCAACATAAGTTCGTTAAGTAGATCACAATGCGTAGATATGCTCACCATTTACATCCATGCTTATTAAAAAGATGTAAAATCAATAAAGGATCTAAAACCGACTGAACGACAATACCATCATAGAAACGATAAATAAACAATCACTACAATGACTTAACTACCAAACGTTTTAACTTCATTGGTACAATGCTATATGAGGTCTCTCTAACTAATTATTTCGGAAAAACTATTTTAGCAGTGATAATACATTAGGTAAGCGTGGACCGTAAAAAGACATATACCTCTTGAAATAACATTCAAAATAATTAAGTGTTGGCAATGTTGCCTATTTATTTGTCAGAAGGAAGAAGAAACAACTCTCCAACGACAAATGTATAATAAATAAATAAGTGAAGGTATTTGCAGTTACATAGGTGTTTCGATTATTATTATCGTTATCAATCAGTACACAATTTAATTATCGACAAACAACAAGAAAAAACCGAAAACACGATTAAGGAATAAAATAAGAATGAAATTTAAACAGATGAGCAAGCAAATGGAGAGATTGTTTTTGGAAAAAAAACGAGAGAATACAAAACAGTTCTCAAGAACAAATACAAAGTGAACAGAAAGAAATCCAAAAAAACATATGAGTTGTGTTGTAGAAACAATCCATATTGAAGAAAGAAAAAGCTTGTAAAATATTCAATCTTTAGAAAATATTATTAACCATCAATCAATTTATCCGATAAGAAATAGATTTGTGCTTTTATGCATTGTACCGTGGAAAAAGTATCACATAGTAGCTTTATAAAAGAAATAAACGGTGCGAGGAAATTATCGTTACAATATATATAGCTATTAAGAAAGAACATACTTAAAATTATATAACCTCGTAATTCGTATTAATATTGAAAAGAAGAGGGAACCTGCATAAAGGAAGGAATGCTTTTTTTCATTATTTAAAGTGGAAAGAGTTACATCTTTTTACAACCGCATACAGAAGATCACACAAATACATACACAGTAATATGTAATATTTGCTCCGTTTAAGACATCTGTACAAAATTTAGTGTTTGCACATAACTTATGGCCAACACAGAAAATCATGCTTATGTTATTGAATTACATCAAGTAGAATGGTAAAGAGAGAAGATAAAAATAATGTCTTTCTTAAATAAACTAAATAATGACAACATCGAACGAAACAGGTAGACGGCCATGTTATGTCAACTTAACAACATCAATGATCCAATATAGTGTGGAACACAAATACATTGACGAACACACATAGAGGGTGAGAAGAGCGTCAATGATAAAATATAAAGCACATTATTGCTCAGAAAATTAAAAAAAAGGTGATCAAATGTACAAATTAAATTATTCTCATAAAGAAAGATATTAACTAGTAAAAGTGACTTTATCAGTGAACAACATATATGCATAGTGTCTGAAACCCGATAATTTTTAAAATATGTATAAATTCACTTGAACTGCAAAGAAAAAGCCAATAATAATTGTTGAAAATGACGATTATGAATTACCATGACGATAATGATGATGCTAAGTATGAAAAATGACGTTTATTCTGGAACAAAATAAAATGAAAAATCGTGATCACGGGAAAGATAAATTCCTATAATGTAACAGGATTTTCTTTATTGTGTTTATTTTTGTTTCATATATGAATTCTGTTTTTAACAAGCACACCCACTTTGACGAGTTCCATCATTAGTTGAAGCTGAATTGCCAAGTTCTACACTATTCCGTCCAGTACCTGGCGTTAATGAACCTTTACTTATTACACCTCCATCAACACTGTTTAGATATACACTAGAAAAGATAAAATAAAATATTGGACACTGAAATACAAATTGTATTCTGAGCAAAAATGTTACTTTAGAAAGACAAGACTAGTTATGCAGTGAAAATAATTCAAAACTTCACAACTGCTTATCATTATTTACAAGGATTAGGCAGTAGCAGTGAATATTTTCTTTATGAATATAACCTTTTATGACCGACTTCTATGTTAATTTTTTTCACTAAAAAGTATTTTAAGGTATATATATATATATATATATATATATATATATATATATATATATAAACTAATAAACAGTTTGAGACTAAGCTGAACATTTGACTAACATAGAGCAAAGTAGTTGAAGAATGATGTCTGTTATAATTGATATTAGTTGATTGGAAGCCAGAAAAATCAGATATGTTATAAAAAGACGAAACAAATAATTGGTGTAGATTGATTTGTCTCACAAGACTTTTAACACCATTAGTGAAATAGAATTAAGAGCTTGTGAATTAATGAGTTATATTTTCAACCAAAAATATGCGTATTAAAATAACAGATTATTAAATTATTTCTAGTGAGATGTCTTACTGATCACCATACAGTGAGATATTTGATACAGGTTTATCTAAATGGGACCATATTAGTGAAAATTAGAAGTGGCTACGATGAAAATTATTGTTAAGCATGGTATCTGGTAGATGTGGTGTTATGAACAAAACAGATTAGATGTACACTTTTTGAATAGTTTACCATTACATTTTTAAATGTTTAAAGATCCTCATCATATTAAAAGACTAATATATATAAACAGAGAGTATTCTTTTCGATGAATTCTCTTTAGGTTCTACAATTTTATAACCAAATTAATCCGAAAAATGTCCAGATTTAGGGCAAAGTTCATCGTTTAAAGTTATAGCATATAAATGTCGGTTTTTTTAACAAAATAAAATTGTTAAGGTTAAGATGACTCGTATAAAATGTTAACTTGAATCAGTTTCTACGTTAGATGCAATTTTAAGATCCATGATCCGAATTAATATGGGTCAGATGGGGTAAGAAAAACAATAGTTCAATTACAAATTCGATCAAATGTTTAGTGGAAGACTACAATGTGTAGAAAATTGGTAAGATATACTAAAGGCGATACGAATGTAAAGTAAATAAATTATGTATTCGAGAGATTAATAATGATCTTAAACTAATAAAAGACTGATAACAAAAATAATACGATATGTGAATAAAGGTGACAGAAATAATTATATTTAACTACGAAAGGTTGTAAGTACAATAGTCAAATTTGGTCATTTAATAGCTAAGATTACTATTGATTAATTGGCTTTAATGTTGGCCAGGAGAGGGGAAGTGGTTGAAGACATTTCTTTTGTGAACATAGCTCCAATTTCTTAATCCGGATGGCTACTGCTTCAGCCGTTTCAAAGACTGTGAGTTTGACAGGGTTTGGCAAGAAATTACTGACCCGATAAATAATTGAAAAGGATTAGTTTCTACTGGCGCTATGACCAGTTTGCACTAAATCGGTCAATATTGGGTTGTTCATTTTCTTCACTAGATCTTTGCATAGACAGGCTGAGAGGTGTTCGCGAGCACGGAAATGTAAATTCCTAGAACTTCTACCGATTTAAAAGTTGTGGACTTTCATGTTACTAAATTTGTTAGGTGTTTCAGCAAAAATTTATGTCACGATTAAATCGGATAAATTCCAAACAATAGACTGTAGGTTTAAACATCGGTTTCAATACTTAAGGTAAACAGGTAACAATAATTATTATCAAACAAAACATGTGAATCAAAGTGGAGTACATAAGTATGTATTTGGTCGTATAGTTACTATGAAGTTAAATTTTTTTAAGAAAAAAAAACAAGGAACCAGGCTTTCGGTTAGAATACATGTGTTAGTGCTTTTTATGAGCGATTTTGTTAATTACACTAACAAGATTTCAAAGAGTACAACAAAATGGGCTTATAAAAAAAGCGAGAATAACGTTAATGCTCATTCCTACCATGATAGGGGAGTCAGTCTCTAAAATCTACAAGTAGGTTTGATTTTGTCTTAGGTTTTCTAGTTGTGTAGGACTATAACTAATTTTGACTGACAAGTATGTTAAGCAAACAAAATGAACGCCTTAAAACAATATCAAAACGTCTTATTTTAATTGCATGACTGTGCTAGTTTTTCCATTAGATAGGTTTTCCATATGTGTCTCTTGAGCATTGCTTAGGTTTCATGAAACCGACTGAGCAATATTGCAGTTAAGTAGAGATGGCAGACCGGTTGATTAAGTTACGAACCTTCACTGATTGAAGTGTTCAGGATGTCACAGGCGGTCGATCACCACCAACCTTGGCAACCAAGGAATGCTGGCATACAAGTAGATCGGAATAAAGCTAGGATTGGCCAAACAAAAACTCGCTATCAACCCATGAAATCCTTGACTGATGATCTGAGTTTTGCTAGTAGATGCACAATAATCGTGGTTAGAGAGTGAGTGACATGGTTCAGAATAGGTCGCGATGGCACAGGTACACTCACTTTATCATTCTCGTAATATTAAATACTGTTTTTAATACATAGCTTTCTACTGTCTTCTAGATCCATATTCTTAGGGTTAATTCTTTTCTATTGTCACAAATACCATACTTCAATTTTCTTTGTTATACATCCTGTTATTTTCATCTCGTCGTGCCAATGTAGTATGGCGACTTGGGTCAACGCACATATGTACCAGGCTCTAAGTTAATAATGACTGACTTCAACCGCATACTACAGATGAACTAGATTTTAGGAAATACAGGTTTCAAACATTCTCAATTCTTAACTACCGAAAACCTCCACACTTTGACTAAAATCCCCTACAGTTCCTAAAACATATTTAGGAGTTGAACATAAAAATGCAGCCAAATGAAATAAAAATCACTTAACTTCGCTACTTACCTTCCATCCTGGACGTTCTGGAATATTTTTCGAGCTGTTTCAGTGAATACATTTTCTACGTTAGCACCACTGTAAGTAAATAAGAGAAGTAATCACAGATTTTCGACTTTTTATATGAACTTTTAAAGCTGCATACGTGTTGTGGCCAAATAAATTTTAAAAGGTTAACATGGTCAACAGATGATTAATTTGAGCATACAGGTGAGTGGAGAACTTAATAATAACCGAGTGGTTTGAGTAGTTGCGTAATATTGGTAAAGTGACGGAATAATAGCATGAAAACAACATAATAGCCAATATCTCATAGGAACCACGAACCGTGGTACGGCCGAGAGTGGGGAGAGTTAGCTCGCCCTCTCGAAATGCTCACACATGGCCATGTGTATATAGCAATTACCAGGGACGTTCTCACTGCCTTATCGAGGCATTACTGTTGTATACGAAATTAAGAGGATGAAAAGCGAATGTCCAGAGCTTTAATCGGGTTAGTGGATATGGAGAATCCATTTATAGGAGTTGGAAAACCCTAATTCTAAACCAATGATGCACATGGGCTCCAGGATCCTGAGGGAACAAATGGCGTATGAACCAATTGTTGGTCACCGGCTTCCATGGGACTGCATCTCCTTACGATGCTCCACTGTCTTGTGGTTCAGACCTTCAGGTCGAGGGCTCGGGGAGTGGCCCCCTAAGAAAACCACCTCCTTCGGTTTGGGCACCCGGGCAGTATCACAGCTCTCACACATATCTAATGAGATTTGTGTGGCGCATATGTATTTGGTGCCCCTTTATACCAATATTTGTGTTTAAATAAATAAATAGTTGGTTATTCTGTTCAAAATTCATTCAATATTTTTCTATACAAGTCAATTATGCTGTCTGTATCATACCAAAACACCATTCAAGAAACGCAAATGAAGTACAAGTAAACTCATTTTTGCTTTACAGTTGTTTAACATAGTTTTTGAAGGTTTATTTCATATTTATTTATTTTAACACATAGTTACATATGCGCCACGCAATCTCACTTGATATGTGTGAGGGCTGTGATACTGCCCGGGTGCCCAGACGGAAACAAGTGGTTTTCTTAGGGGGCCACACTCGGAGCCTTCGACGTAAAGGTCTGACCCACAGTACCGTGGATCAGCTCCAGGAGATGTAGTTCTATGCTAGCTGGTAACGAATAATTGGTCCATACGCCATTTGTTCCCTCAGGATCCTGGAGCCCATGTGCATCATTGGTTTAGAATTAGGGTTTTCCAACTCCTATAAATGGATTCTCCATATCCACTAACCCGATTAAAGCTCTGGACATTCGCTTTTCATCCTCTTAATTTCGTATACAACAGTAATGCCTCGATAAGGCAGTGAGTAGGACTTTCCTGGCAGAGGCTATATACGCGTGGCCATGTGAGAGCATTTTTCAAGGGAGAGCGAGCCCACCCCACTCTCGGCCATACCGGGGCATTCGGGGGCACATCGCCGTAGTATACTGGCGTGTTTAAACAATGTATAGTCATTTCAAATCTGACATTGCACTTACTAATATTAGCACCACCCATGAAGTGGGATGATTGGATTTTAACGGGTACGATGAACAGTATTCGTGTGAGGGCACCAATCTTGGTGTATTAAGACCTTAAAGACAGCTGTATTTGTCAATATCAGAAATAAAATCAGAGGAACGAGAATACTGTGAAATAAAGATCTGGATCTGGAAAGGAAAGTAAATGAGTGATGTCCCTAGGATTTAGTTGATGGATGTCGAATGCCTCTGTAAAATTGTGGCTTGGAATTAAGGCTAGCTATGTAACAATGCAATCAAAACCTCTTCGGATTTATCTCTATGAAAATTACTATCGTAATGTTTATTTGTAAGACGTCTCTTCAGATTCTTACTGCATCAAAGTTTTAGATTTCGAAAAAAGTTATCGTTACTGTCAAAGATTTTGGGACTAATATGAATACCATTAATATTCCAGTGGATGAAGAACAGATGGGAGAGTAACAAAATTTAACTCAACTATCATTCAGAGGTCTTAAAGCTTAGTATCACAGATATTTAAAAAGTGAACAACTATTCTAATTCTTTCCACCACTACTTTCGATAACCACAGCCAGTTCTAAGAAAGATTTTATTTTCGGTCTAGTCATTTCTATTACTAGTTTTGATACCACTTCTAATACTCCTGAATTTTTTGTTAGTTTCATTTTACAATGCCAATGGGGTGTGGCAGGTTTATCTGATGTATACATCTGCTAGGTTTTACGTTGCGGATGACTGGCCGGCTGAACTATCTATCACACAAATCCTTATTAAAAAGTCACCAAAAAAGCACTTCATAAGGTAAAATGACTATATTGAAGCAAATTCCTCAAATCAACAGATAAACAAACAACAATACCACTCATTAGAATACAGTCAAGAACAGAAAAATCAATGTGTCATTGAGCAAAATCAAGACAAGCTAGCGGAAATTCGACTTTTAAATGATTTCATTTACTAGAGTTGTAAGAGCACATTATAATTATTTTTAAAGTTTTTTTTGTAACAAATACAGAGGTATTACGTTACTAACAAAGCTATCAAGTAGTACAAAAAGGTCAGGTGATAGTCAAGAAGTAATGAGGAGCAGTACAGTGAAGATAATTTATGGATGTGGAAAAATTATCCACATGACGAGGCGAATGGTTACTAATAACAAATACAAGAAATACTAGGGAGACGGTGAAATTAGGGACTGAATGTGTTACTCAGATAAGGTTGTAAGTGATGATTTACTAGAACCTTTAGTTTACAAAAACTTCTGATTCGAACTTTCTTTGAGCCAGTTCGCTCGATTATGTGGATAATGTTGAATGGTTATTCTAGTGGGGGGGGACACGACCATCTGTTGAAAAATACAGCTGACAACTGGTTTATATTTCCCTTTAGATAATCATGAATGGCAGCGTACGGATAGATGTTTGGAAAGAGTATCCTACAAGGCTAATATAACCTCCACACGAGAGCAAGTAAACTATCAGATACATAGTGAAGTAGCCCGAAATGAGTTTATCCTTGACAGATCCTCAGATCAGGCACCTATAAAAGATTTGAACCTAGGCTTATTAGGATGTCTCTTAAAGAGATCCTAACATTCAGTTTTTCAGGATCTTTGCGGCTCTATACCTTTTGAATCCGATGCTCATGAATCACATATTCGTTACCCGTGTTTTTCTGTCTGGTTACGAGAGAATTCGTTTATGAGTTGCGGATTATACTCAATTCATGGTCAGTTGTGTTGCTTGTGCATATTTGTTGGACCCTTCATGATAGAGAATACGTTGGATTTCCTTGTCTGTTCAGTGGAACCTAACTTCGGAAGTTTATGTACTACTTGTTCTACATCGGGTTTCTAAATACTACTCTTTATAGACCCGTCTAACCCTTTGGGAAGTTTATGAAGGGGAATAAATTCTGAGTTAACCTGCAATTATGTTGTGAATGTAGTTGACCGGTGACTATAACTGAACTCGTTAAGATCGATACTGATCAGGTGCAACTTTGATAGCCTTTTATCGAGTAAAAATACGATGTCTTCCGCGTACTTGATGTCGAAATCATTATTTAGGTCATCAATTCACATCACTAACATGTACTTCCTTTGAAGCTATTTCCAGAGTGTTATCAGTGGCAAAATGGGAGAGAATGTGGGGGAACTAATCTAAACTAATTAATTAGTTGGACTGGAACAATGAAGAGAAATAGTTGGATAACCTAACTCTTTTTGGGGTGTTTGTATGGACCTTTCAAGATATTATTAGATAACTCCGGCAAATTTGTTTTCAACGGTAATCCGAAGCGGTTTCATCCATTAAGTCGAAAGTGGCCTTGATATCAAGAAATATGATTGTCATACTACAGAAATGTGGCAGTATTTATTCAGTTAGAGGGAATCAATAACGTAATCAATACATCCAAGACCCGAACACAAATTAGCTTGTCTGTCTAAACAACATTGATGGGGAAGTGAACCAATGAAATCGTCCTCCACCTAGCGTTTGAAGTATTAAAAATGGGTTGACACTATAACTTAGGGACAACATTTGAGCGACGCCAAAGTGACCTAGATTTGTGTGGCGCATATGTGTTTGGTGCCTCTTTGTACCATTATCTATGCGTTGAAATAAAATAAAATAAAAGTGACTTAGAGAGTGTCTACCTATTTACTAGGGCTAAATGAGGGTTATAAAGGAGTTTGGAGAATAAGGATTATCATCTATATTTGATGGTTAGGGTTTAGGTTTACGGATTTTCATCAAGAAGTGAAATCAGATGGAATGTCAAGACGCTACCTGGCCAAATGAGTGAGTGAATTTTGCGCCAAAATCCATGACCTGGTGTCCTAAATTTAATTGCTTCGCCCATAAATTATATTCTTGCCTAAAACCATGTATCAATGAAACCACAGATTTTTCCAGTGATAACACGCTTCAGGACTACGCAAAAACCCAAGTAGTTTAATGAAGAATGCAGAAGCATTAATCGGATATATCTCGGAGAAACAGATGAATTCATAAAACAAAATAAAAACGGATAAACTTCAGGTTATAATGTTATACAGGAATAGAGGAAGTCGGAAGGAAAACATCAAAACAAAGACGTGAGAGGAAAAGGGAGTCGAACTAATAACGTGCTGATCAAAACCTAAGGGCAGACAAGGTGTTCGCATCAGTATAACTGATAAGTTCCAAGCCATCTCATTATCCCGAACTAGTGATATCAGTCATATTAGATAAGTCACTTAAGTGCATCCTGACGCAATTAAAATCGACTTTGCCATTTTCTAAGCGCGTGAAGTTTTATTTATCTTTGCGTTTTTTGAACATTCATGAACGAATTGTCATGGAATTAATTAACGATCTTAACAGCTGCTGAAAAACGACTTGATGACTTCGTCCCATTGGTTCATTATCAAGTAAAAGCCGCGCAACCAGCCCGAAGTATTTGCTGCTCAGCTTGTAATTACATAGAAACATTTCGAAACTAAAACAGAAAGACTTACGATTTAGCGCTACACTCTAGAAACAAAAGACCATTTTCATCTGCCAGTTGTTTAGCCTCTTCATAAGTAACATCACGTTGCTCTTCGAGGTCAGCCTTATTGCCAATAAGAAAGATAACGGTATTAGGGGAAGTCAGTCGCCTAGCATCTGTTAACCACGTTTGAATCCGGTTGAAGGTTGGCTTCCGTGTGATGTCGTAAACTAGTAAAGCCCCGGAAGCTCCTCGATAGTACGATCGTGTTACTGCCCTGAAACGTTCTTGGCCAGCTGTATCCCATATCTGGATCTTAACTTTCTGGTCATTTACTTCAATGATTTTTGTGGAGAACTCAACACCAATAGTATGTGGGCAATCTGGAATAACTAAAGGACAACAGCGTGAGAAGAAACATTAGCTTACACTTTTTTTCAGTGAACTGGTGCATTAAACAACTTTTTCCTACCCCCATATCACCAACAATTATATATTTAAATATATATGAATAGTTGTAGCCCCCTCCGATAGACATTTTTGCGCAGAAATCGTATACGGCGGATTATATGCAACGCACATGAGCGGTCTGTTGATAAGTAAAAACAAATGCACTATAAATTGTTCAAAAACACCAAAAGCGAACTAAAAGAAGCCTTCAAGCGGTAAGATTTGTCTCCTCAATGCAATTTATCACCAGTGGAGATATAAACTGTGCGCGCGCTAATTAAAGGGACAGTGGTATTTTTCCTTGTATAGTAAATTCTATTGTTTTGATCGTTATTACGTATCAATATTACTGTTTTCACTTTAATTGAATTTGTTTCAGTTAAAGTATTCGATTACAGTATCGTTTTTGCTTCCATATTAGTTTGTCGTCGGTGTTTCAAAAAGGGCAGTGATTTTGTACTTGTTGTGATTATCCTTGCTTTTGTGTAGTTATTGCATCAAGAGCATTCTTGGTCTTAATCAAAGTACTTTAGTTAAGATTTGAAATCTCGCTAAAGTTCGCCTTGTAGTACCCTTTACTCGTTGACTGACACTGTGTTCATACTGCGATCATATTGTGTTTTACACCTTAATCTGACTAGAATGGTTGGTAGTACTCACAAATATGGACAACGAAACTGTTTGTTCCCTGTGAAGGAAGGGATGCAATGTGGTTCTATAAGATGTGCACCCGTTTAAGCCCCGCTGAATACAAAAGATATTTGAAGCCTAACTCACATTGGCTCTGCATGTTTTGCTGTTCAAATAAGACATTACTAATACAGGAGACTATGAGCCTGTTGGCCCTGGCCTGTAAGAGGAACGATGGCGAATGCACTGGTAACACGAGCACTGACAGTGACGAATGTGTCAGTGTAGTACGTGCTGTTACGAGACGCCTTAAACAACCGACTATGACTGACGGAAAAGTGAAATCTCCGTTGACATTAACAACGGGGTAGTACCACCTGATACTGATATTGGTAACCATGCACACCCAAGGGAAACTTAAGATCTGGATAAAACCGTCACTGCTCCAAATAGTTTCAGTATCCTGAGTGATGAAAAATGGACTGCAGTACGGAGAAAACGAAATTAAAAGAAAATGGCTGTAGGCAGTACGCAGATGGTTAGCAAGTCACTAAATGCATTATCAAAGTCTGACACACTGCCAAAATCTAATAGAGGAGAGAAACCCACCCTGGCGTGAGTGAGAAGAAGAATCTAATCTCATCGAATATTATTGTGAGCAAATTGCTGGAGTCAAACGACCCTGATCCGAAAATTAGACACGCGCATGATTTAGAGAAGTTGGAAGAATATATTCGCAGTATCTTACCAGATGACTCTAAAGGAGTTCAGGTAAAAAGCTGGTTAGAATAGGCAAGAGGACTGAGGAAAATGTTGAACCCCGACCATGTAGACTCCGTAAGGTAATCCTAGGATCGCAGAAGCAACGGAATCTCCTGTTAAGTGGCGCTCGTTGTCACGACAATTCCGATATACGGATTAGACCTGATATGTCTCTCGAAGATAGAATAAAAAGGAAGAAAGCATTTACTGAACTCAAAACCATTCGGCAAAACGGTAAGGAAAATCTCCGGCTAGTGAGTTTTCGGATAATCAGGTCTTGGAAGCGAATACTACCAAGGCCTGTGTGGATAGGCCGTTCTACTTAGGAGTCTTATATGCCAATGCTCGTAGTCTAAGAAATAAGTTCTATGAACTAGAAACATTGATGGACAGATTAAAGCCACCCATCGTAGCAGTGACAGAAACTTGGTTAGTCCATGACTTAGACATTACACCAGATTTATCCGGATACCATTGCATCAGGAGTGATAGACATAGAAGTAGAAAAGGAGGTGGCGTCCTGTTATATATAGCTAATAGCATAAATATCCGCTCCTCTGCTAACGAATCCCATGATGGCGGTACTTGTGAAATCATTAGCTGTAAATTGGCTATCGGATGTAGTACATTTACGCTAGGTGTCATCTATCGCAGCCCGATATGCTTAGCTGATGACTTTATTTTAGAGCACATTCACCTTTGGATTGCAAATACCAGGTGATTGATAATAGGAGATTTTAATTCACCTGATAATAGTTGGACTGAGATGACCACGGAAGGATCTATAAACTCCTTTGATAGTAGGTTCCTGGTAACAATAATGAAGCATGCACTAGTGCAGCATGTATCCAAACCCACACGTTTTGGTGTTAACCAAGGTTCTTCTCTGTTGGAGTTGGTAATCACTCATGAGACTGAGGATATTGTCGACCTAAATATTCTCCCACCGTTAGTGAATAGCGATCACGTTGTTTTGTCATTCGCGTTTAGAACTAGGGACATGTTATACGATCAGGTTACACCTCGCCCAAATGTTTGGAGCGCTAACATATCAGCCATTCAGGAATGCGCTGCTAAGACAGATTGGTTTGTAGATACTAGCTTATCAGTAGAAGAAGCATGGTCTGAATTTAAAGGTAAGTTTAATCTAGTTATGTCCCTGTTCATACCATACCTGGTGCCACGAAGACCGACTAACATTCCACCATGGATAACTAAACCAGTCAGGAAACGTCTTAGGAAAAGGAAGAAACACTGGAGCATGTTCATCTTTATTGGCTTAGAACAATATAGATCCAGTTGTTGTGAAATTAGGAATGCCTGTAAAGCATTATTATGTAAGACTAGATGATTATATGAAAAACAATTGGTTAAGGATTGTTGATATGGTCCGAAACGGTTATTATCGTACATAAAAAGGCAAACTCAGAGATGCGATTGAATTCCAATAACTTTTGATACAAGGGACTCCGTTAATCTTGACAAGAAACGATATCGAAAAAGCTGAAGCTTTATCGGAATATTTCACTAAAGTGTTTTCTATCGGTTATGAAGAACGACCAACGATTCATTGTGATTGTGGCGGCTCCTTGATGGGCACTGTTGTCATTGAGAAAGTTACTGTCTTAAGGCTACTTCAGCATCTCAAACCTGATAAGTCCAGTGGTCCTGATGAAATTCATCCCAGGGTTATGAAAGCCATATCAGATGTAATTGCTGAACCATTAGCGATACTGTTTGACATGTGTCTGAAGCAGTCCAGACCACCCAGAAACTGGAAAGACGCGATAATAAGTCTGGTGTATATGACTGGGAGTAGGGATTTAGTTAGTAACTATAGTCCCGTTAGCTTAACTAGTGCAGTTGTAAAACTAATGGAAAAAACGCTTGGATATCCACCATAAACTATGTTGAAGGGCATAATCTTTTCTCCAGGAACAACATGGTTTCTGGAGAGGCCTATCGTGCTTGAAAAACCTACTGGTTGCAAGAGAAGATTGGGCTGCGGCAAAGGATCGGAATGCTCCTGTGGATGTGATTTTCATAGATCTACGTAAGGCCCTCGATAAGGTCTCCCACACTGGTCTTAAATTCAAACTGGAACGTTTTGGAATCCATTATATAGTCGTCGATTGGATAAGTAACTTTCTCCATGACAATAGACAAAGGGTAAGGGTTAATGGGGCTCTCTCCCCGTGGGTACCTGTAAAAAGTGGGGTTCCCCAAGGTACAATCCTAGGTCCTCTTCTCTTTTTACTTTATGCAAATGAATTGCCAACTGTATCAAAATAATCCGTTTTACTCTTCGCTGATGACATAAAAATTTGGAGACCCATACACGGTATGTCAGAGAGAATAGTATTACAGAATGATCTTAGCTCATTGGTGGCATGGTTAGACAGGTGGTCACTAGAAGTAAATCCTAATAAGAGTGTAGTGATGCAGTTAAATAACTCTGATGAATCGTATGACTATACACTACGTGGATTCGTGCTACCCAAAGCAAGAAACTATAAAGACTTAGGAGTTATATTAAGCAATGATCTCAAAACGACTAGTCACTGTAAGGCTGCTGCTGCAAAAGGCTATAGGGTATTATGGTCAATTCGTAGGTCTTTTCAGTATTTAGATGATGAAATGTTTGGATTACTATACCCGATTTATGTGCGACCACATTTAGAATACGGGATTCAAGCAGCGAGTCCTTGTTTCAAGTATGAAGCAGATATGCTGGAAAGAGTTCAACGACGAGGTACTAAGATGGTACAAAGTCTATCTGACTTATCTTATGAAGACAGACTGAGACACCTCAACTTATATCCGTTATCTTACCGTAGAGTACGGGGTGATGTAACATTGGCTTATCGTATACTGAACGATGACCTTGGTATTAACATGTCTTATCTTTTACTTCCGTCTAGGACTGATCGTTTGAAAGGACATTCGAAGAAAGTTCAAAAGCCGAGATCAAATCGTTTACTTCTGGAGTTTTGTTTCTCGCACCGAATAGTGAATTACTGGAATTCTCTACCGGAACAAGTAATATCAGCACCTTCCGTTGATATATTCAAAACTAGGTTGGACCTCCACAGTATTACAAACTGCAAGGATTAATATAGGTCGACAGACCTCCTATCCTTATTAATGAAGACTGAAGACAGTACCTTCAAGACAGTTCAGGTTATATCAAAGCGTTCAGACAGAAATCTTAAGAAACTAGCAGTTAGCTATTTCTGTTCAACAAGGGCTGAAGTGCAACGGGAAGAATATGTAGCTCAACTAAAGAAACGCAACCTATTATTATTAATCCTTATTTCCACTTCAACTTTCTCGATCGATTTTATATTTATGTTAACCCTGTATTCCAATAGTCCTCTGATTAATGCTCACATGCATTATCGTAATGTTATATTGATTAGTCCTCATGACAAACTAGCTCAATCGATAATAAAAACTGGTCGTCTATATTAACTAATTAGCTTTGATGGTTTGTTAACAAGCTGTAATAGCATTTGCATGCTTCAGCAACATAGTCTTGTTTAAACATCAAGCTCTAGCAAATATGACCTGTAAATAGCGTAAATATACATTGACTAACAATGCAATCAAGGACTAAATAGTTATCTGGATCTAATTCTCAGTGTTCCTTCACTTAACACCTCATCTTGTTTTAAACTACGCACTATCCTGTAATAT